GCTTGCTTCTCCTTGGGAAAAGCAAGCCAGCCAGGCAGGGAGGAATCGTCTCCCTCCTTGCAAGCAAGGAGCAAATGTCGGCCGGCCGGCGCTTCAGAGCAGCCGTGGGAGAGACCTCGCCCGCGCCTGCTCTGATGCGCCCGCCCCAAAAATGCCAGCCGGTGCTTAAGAGCGGCCGCGGGAGAGACCTTGCCTGCAGCCGCTCCAACACACCCGCCGGGGGCCTATGGGGAAAAATCACAAAGCGATCGCTTTTGCGATCGCAAAAAACAAATCGCTATGCAGATTTGTCGTTAAACGGGGCACTCATTATGCGAGGCACCACTGTATATGCATTTATTTACATCTTACATCTTTGTGAATTTTATATTCATCTTGCTAAGGCATATGACTAATGCAAATAAAATGCTAACTAACTGGAACCTATTGGTAGTTCTTAGGATTGTCCCTGATTCTGCTGTTTCAGCTGCTTCTGTCCTAGCTCTCTGGAAGTATTTTTCTCATCTAATGCAAAGTGATAATATTGGCACCAAGAACACCCATCACGTGTGGAATTGCTAGCTAGTCTGGAACAGTATATGAAATTGTTGTTTTATTTATTTATTTTTTCTAATCTACCAACTTTTTCCAGAATGCATCAGGAAGGGTATTTTTCCCCCACATCAGAAATATTCTATAGTATGTAAAATGAAGGTATCACATTTGTCATATTTAAAATGAACTTATAACTGTTGTTGGGAGAGATGCAATGTTGCATTAAAACAATACTGTCAAAAGGAAGCTGAGTGAAAAATCTGTGATGACAATATACTAAATCCATAGCTAATGTAAATATGATTAAGGTAGTTTACGTAGATACTTGGACACTCATTTGCCCTAGTGTAGCTTACAACATTTCCAGAATCAGTATTGGTAATTAATTGTTGAATCTACTCTTGGGATAATTGGAATAATAGCAATACAGCTGCATGTCTCAAATGAATTAATGGCCATAATCCTTTTGTTGTTTATTTTAGCTTTGTGTAACTTGTCACAGCTACTTGAGGTGTCAGTGCTCATCTGAGTCACATATCTGGTCATTCACTAAATTGCATGCTTAACTGATTGGACTCCAGACAGTTTAGTAAAGTTTCAATTAATTCCTTACTCTCCTTACTGTTTTTTGGGGGGTGGGGAAAAATCAATACAGAGAAAATTAATATTTTCTAAAACTATTTCCTTAACATACCTGACTACAGTCTTGCATGCTATCCTTATAATGGTCCAAGCGACGACACTCAATGTAGCCTTCAACTCCCACAATAAGTCACTTCTTACCATCATGATGTCTAACAATGTAAGTTTTGGATTTATGTAACACTTGACTCAAAGTTTAAGAAAATGTTGCCCTTATAGTTGTGTCATATGTTTGATTTTGTAAATTATCCCTTTTAAAATATGTTCTTTAAAAAATATGAAATAAGTACATTTGCTTTCTTTAAATTGCAGTTTGTTGAAATAAAAGGAAGTGTATTCAAGAAGTTTGAGAAAAACAATCTCTTTCAGATGTCAAACAGTGGTATGTATATTTATGAGTGTTACATGCTTTTATTAATCCACTTTTTTGATATAATTTTGTGGAAATTGTACATGAATACAATATATAAAAAGGTGAAGTTAGTGTAGAAAGATCTACATTATCTACATTATTGAGGTACTCATCTATAGTAAAAAAAAGGTAATGTAGATGGAGTTGGGGGTTTTCACACATCAATCCTCTGCCCAGTCCATATGTTGAGTAAACACAGTAAATAGGATTCTACAAGCAAAATCAAAAGATAGGAGTGCCCCAAACAAAAAATTACAACTATGAAACTGGACCTCATTTGTATCTCTCCTCCAAGATCTTGGCTTTGTGGTAAACCTGCAAAAATTCAAGTTAACGCCTACAAAACTAATCCATTATATAGGAGCAGGACTCCAGACATGCTCAAGCGTTTCTCCCAACAAACAAACGTCTCAATTTAATGGTTGTTGTGGGTTTCTTGGGCTCTTCGGCCATGTTCTGAATGTTGTTCTTCCTGATGTTTTGCTAGTCTCTGTGGCCGGCATCTTAAGAGGACTGGAGTAGGAACTCTGTCCATGCTGTGTTGCTGTTTGTTGTATCATTGAGTATTTCTAGCTGTGGGAACAGCTTTTGTCCTTTTCAGGAGATAGGGTGATCAGTGTGTTTTTGTTGTAATAAGGGCGGAGAGATTATCTGTCACTGTGATTGATGGGTGTCATTAGCTGGTCTTTTTTGTACAACGATCCCTGGTCCTTGTGGCTGGGTAGAGTTTGTTGACCTTTCGCAGGCTGTATTGGAAGCCAGGCTTTGTTTAGTTTGAGGCCTCTTTTTTGTTGAAGTTCTGTTGATGTTTATGGATTTCAATGGCTTCCCTGTGCAGTCTAACATAATGATTGCTGGTGTTCTCCAGTACTTCAGTATTTTGAAATAGAATTTCATGTCCAACTTGTTTTAGGGCATGTTCAGCTACTGCTGATTTTTCCAGTTGTTTTAGTTTGCAGTGTCTCTCATGTTCTCTGATTCTGGTGTGAATGCTGCGTTTTGTGGTTCCAATATACAGTACAGTGGTGCCTCGCTTAACGAGCGCCCCGTACAGCGATGAATTCGCATAGCGATCCCTTTTCCGGGATCGCTAATGCGAAGGCATCGCGTTGGCCCCAATGGGCGAAATTCGCATAGCAAAGATCGGTAAGCGTTTCGCTTACCG